GAGACCTTGTTACCTGCAGAGTGAGACCTCGTTACCTGCAGAGTGAGACCTCGTTATCTGCAGAGTGAGACCTCGTTACCTGCAGAGTGAGACCTCGTTACCTGCAGGGTGAGACCTCGTTACCTTCAGAGTGAGACCTCCTGACTCACAGACTGCTTCGGCACCGACTTCAGGAAACTTTCTCAGCTCGGCCAATCAGGTCACAGTGTCAGCTCAGCCAATCAGGTCACAGTGTCAGCTCAGCCAATCAGGTCAGAGTGTCAGCTCAGCCAATCAGCACCTGTTATCTGTACCATGGAATAAATACAAAACAGAAGGAGGCTGAGCTTTTGAGTCGGAGCCACTAAAACTGTGGAAACATTTCTCCTGAATTGTGTTTTAAAGAAAAAATGTATTATTTAAAAAATCATTAATTTCTCATGTTTACTCAGAGGCTCTTTGTGAGTGGATCTCTGTAGGGGGCGCTCTTTACTTAAAGGTGTTCTTTTCCACAGCTTCAATATCATCTATTGTTCATAGGCGTTTGTTCCGGCCAATGGCAGAGCGGGACTTCAAAAATATAAACTTTTTGTGCAGCTCAAACCATTCCATCCTGTTTGAAAGTTTCTCTTTGTGTGAGTTCAGTTAAAACATAAATAACAACAATATTCTCTGTGGAGGCAACATGCATTTGACCCGTCAGTCAGGTGGACACCACCACTGCATGTTTCAGGGAAGCGAGAGGGCTAACCACTCAGCCGGTGTGTATACATCATAAAGTGTGATTCATTCTGCCATGTTTTGCTTTGAGAAAACACAAACATATAAGTGCTTCTTCCTCAGAGCGTCTCTTTAAAGAGTAAACACAGTCCCAGAGGAGGCGAAGCCAGAGAGTGACCTCCTGATGTGGTCCCGGGGGCTGCAGTTTACTCCCGTGACTTTGCATCGCTCCGACTGATACTTGATACATATTTTATTAGCACGCCGCGTCGCTAGCAGCACGGATGGTTCCCAGTCGATAAGTGAAAGCTGTTCTCTGCGTAACAATGTGTGGACTGATGCTAACGCAGAGACGCTCCACTTCAGACTCAGATGTGTTACACAAGGTCACCTCTGTCCGTTTGTGTGTCCTTTTGTGTGTGTGTGGGTTTGTGGGTCCTTGTGTTTGTGGGTTTGTGTGTGTTTGTGTGTAAATGTGTTTGTATGTTTGTGTGTGTTTGTGTGTGTTTGTGGGTTTGTGTGTGTTTGTGTGTATGTGTGTTTGTGTGTGTTTGTGGGTCCTTGTGTGTGTGTGTGGGTTTGTGGGTCCTTGTGTTTGTGGGTTTGTGTGTGTTTGTGTGTGTTTGTGGGCCCTTGTGCTTGTGTGTGTTTGTGGGTCCTTGTGTTTGTGTGTGTGTTTGTGGGTCCTTGTGTTTGTGTGCTTTCGTGTTTGTGTGTATGTGTGTTTGTGGGTCCTTGTATATGTGTGTTTGTGGCTCCTTGTGTTTGTCTGTAAGTGTGTTTCTGTGTGTGTGTGTTTGTGGGTCCTTGTGTTTGTGTGTTTGTGTATGTGTGTGTTTGTGTGTGTGTGGGTTTGTGGGTCCTTGTGTTTGTGTGTGTTCGTGTATGTGTGTGTTTGTGGGTCCTTGTGTTTGTGTATGTGTGTGTGTGGGTTTGTGGGTCCTTGTGTTTGTGGGTTTGTGTGTGTGTTTGTGTGTGTGTGTGTGTTTGTGGGTCCTTGTGTTTGTGTGTGTTTGTGTGTCCTTGTGTTTGTGTATGTGTGTGTTTGTGGGTCCTTGTGTTTGTGTGTTTGTGTATGTGTGTGTGTGTGTATGTGTGTTTGTGCGTCCTTGTGTTTGTGTGTGTATGTGTGTTTGTGTGTGTGTGTGTTTGTGGGTCCTTGTGTTTGTGTGTTTGTGTATGTGTGTGCGTGTGTATGTGTGTTTGTGCGTCCTTGTGTTTGTGTATGTGTGTTCGTGTGTGTGTGGGTTTGTGGGTCCTTGTGTTTGTGTGTTTGTGTATGTGTGTGTGTGTGTATGTGTGTTTGTGCGTCCTTGTGTTTGTGTATGTGTGTTTGTGTGTGTGTGGGTTAGTGGGTCCTTGTGTTTGTGTGTTTGGAGCGAAATCATTTGCATTTAAATGGTGTTTTCTGGTGTTGCTGTTTCCCGTGTGGAGCTACGGCGGCGTGGAAAGTCTGTGGATGGATTTCTCTGGATATTCCTGTATCCAGAGACCTGGTTCCTGTATCCAGAGACTAACTTCTTGTATGCAGAGACTAACTTCCTGTATGCATAGACTAACTTCCTGTATCCAGAGACTAACTTCCTGTATCCAGAGACTAACTTCCTGTATCCAGAGACCAACTTCCTGTATCCAGAGAATAACTTCCTATATCCAGAGACTAACTGCCTGTATCCAGAGACCAACTTCCTGTATCCAGAAACTAACTTCCTGTATCCAGACACTAACTTCCTGTATGCATAGACTAACTTCCTGTATCCAGACACTAACTTCCTGTATCCAGAGACTAACTTCCTGTATCCAGACACTAACTTCCTGTTTCCAGACACTAACTTCCTGTATCCAGAGACTAACTTCCTGTATCCAGACACTAACTTCCTGTATCCAGAGACTAACTTCCTGTATCCAGACACTAACTTCCTGTATGCATAGACTAACTTCCTGTATTCAGACACCAACTTCCTGTTTCCAGACACTAACTTCCTGTATGCATACACTAACTTCTTGTATCCAGACACTAACTTCCTGTATGCATAGACTAACTTCCTGTATCCAGACACTAACTTCCTGTATCCAGACACTATCCAGACACTAACTTCCTGTATCCAGAGACTAACTTCCTGTATCCAGACACTAACTTCCTGTTTCCAGACACTAACTTCCTGTATGTAGAGAGTAACTTCCTTTTTGCATATACTAACTTCCTGTATCCAGACACTAACTTCCTGTATCCAGACACTAACTTCCTGTTTCCAGACACTAACTTCCTGTATACATAGACTATCTTCCTGTATCCAGACTCTAACTTCCTGTATGCATAGACTAACTTCCTGTATCCAGACACTAACTTCCTGTATGCATAGACTAACTTCCTGTATCCAGACACTAACTTCCTGTATCCAGAGACTAACTTCCTGTATCCAGACACTAACTTCCTGTATGCATAGACTAACTTCCTGTTTCCAGACACTAACTTCCTGTATCCACAGACTAACTTAGGTCGACACTAGATCATAAACGGAATCGGGACGAAACCGGAAGTAACAGTCCTACTTTTGAATTAGTTTTAGAGAAATAAGTCCTTAAGTGGAGACTGGTTAAGTTTTAGGCGTCTGATTAAGATGGTTAAGGTTAGGGTCAAGGTGGTCTGAGTAAGATGGTTAAGGTTAGGGTCAAGGTGGTCTGAGTAAGATGGTTAAGGTTAGGGTTAAGGTAGGTCTGAGTAAAATGGTTAAGGTTAGGGTCAAGGTGGTCTGAGTAAGATGGTTAAGGTTAGTGTTAAGGTGGTCTGAGTAAGATGGTTAAGGTTAGGGTTAAGGCTGGGTTGGGGTTATTTTATGGGGATGGTTGGTTAAGTTTAGGCATGAAGAGGTAGTTTATTATATTTACTTCCGCTTCCGTCCTGATTCCGTATATGATCTAGTGCTGACCGACTAACTTACTGTATCCAGACACTAACTTCCTGTATGCATAGACTAACTTCCTGTATCCAGACACTAACTTCCTGTATGCATAGACTAACTTCCTGTATCCAGACACTAACTTCCTGTATGCATAGACTAACTTCCTCTATCCAGACACTAACTTCCTGTATGCATAGACTAACTTCCTGTATCCAGACACTAACTTCCTGTATCCAGAGACTAACTTCCTGTATCCAGACACTAACTTCCTGTATCCAGACACTAACTTCCTGTATCCAGACACTAACTTCCTGTATCCAGACACTTACTTCCTGTATCCAGAGACTAACTTCCTGTCAGGATTGTTCTGAGTCTTCTCCAGAGACCAGGATGAGATTTGAAGTTGACCTCAGTTACTGCGGCGCTTCACAGCAGCGGACTCCATCGCTCATTGTTACTAATGTTTGAGACTTATTTAGAAAAGCACGTGGTGGGAAAAGAGAGTCACTGTTGGACTCTAAGGGCTGACAGCTGATTGGCTGAGAGGGGGACGTCCTCTTGTTTTCTTTTTCTGCCAGAGAAAACTAAAAAGGGACAGAGGCCAAAAATATAGTTTAAAAAATGTGATAGAACAAAATGGCATTAGAATTGTTAGTTATGTTATAATTGTAATGAATATTTAATGCATTGTCTTTAAGCTGACTGTGTTGCCACGAGGGGGGAAGATAATAGTGTTAGTCTGTGATGTTTACGTTATACGTATATATTGGACCATGGGAGAGACCACATGGTATTCGACCATAGGTGGAGACCATAGCTCAATGATACCCAATAGGGAAGTGCTCATGGATGAAGTTTTGGTCCCCACTCCTGACCAGCGTTGAAGAGTAAACTCCTGTTGCTCAGTTTGCGTCTGTCCAATCAGGAAGCAGTAGGAGAGAGCAATAACGCAACATCAAAGGCAGATGTCTTTAACGTCACAATCAGATCAGAGAGAGTGCTGCTGCTCTGATGTCCCGGGGACCAGGAGTGAGTGGGACCAGGACTGAGTGGGACCAGGAGTGAGTGGGACCAGGACTGAGTGGGACCAGGAGTGAGTGGGACCAGGACTGAGTGGGACCAGGACTGAGTGGGACCAGGAGTGATATGGGACCAGGAGTGAGTGGGACCAGGAGTGAGTGGACCCCCCCCTCCACCACCACAGCTGCTGCTCTGGCTCTGGCTCGAGGAGCTGTTTACTGCTGTAATCTGTCACTTACTGAGGACACACCTGTGTCCACTGACTGGGCACATGCAGAACATGCAGAACATGCAGAACATGCAACACATGCACCAACCATCAGTGTAAACATGTCTCTGTGTCATACAGACGTTTCAGCTGATCGAAAACAATAGGTAATGACAGACCTGGGCCACGTGTGCGGGTCCGACATGCGGCCGTCGGACCCTTCTCAGCTCATTACTCATTACACTAACATTCTATTAATGAAGGCTTGTAACTTTGTAAACACTACCACAGGTCATGTGCTCAGTAATGAACCCAACTTGTTATTGGTAATAATTGGGTCAAAAACAGAATGTTCACAAAGACAACACTTGATGTCTTCATTTGTGTTCAATGAAAACGAGCGATGCCCGTCCCTGGGTTACTGTATACTTTACTGTATACTTTAATTGTTTTTACTTTACTGAGAGCTGATTGGCTGAGAGAGGGTGGTCCTCTCTATTCTCTGTCTGTTGTGTCTGAAAAATGAGGCCAAAAAACACAAGCATTTGAAAACTAGTGATAAAACTAAACTGTTTTAGAGGATTTAATCACCTCATTCCCTTTGAGCCTGAAGGTCGTGGGTTTGAACCCACCACGAGACCTTCTCCATCTTCTCTGCTGTTGTTGTGTCCGTGGGCAAGACACTTAGCCCCATCCTGTCTGAAGCGCCGCTCAAAGAGCACCAGTCATCAGTGACTAAATTATGTACAGACACTGAGAAAGATTTACATTTATGAATGACTGAGAACCACAGCTTTTGTCTCTGGATGGTCCTGACCCCACGGAGAGTCTGTTACCACGGATCCTCAGCCTCCACATTATCCCAGTGTATCTCACCGGTCCCTGGCCCTTCTCACCGGTCCCAGGCCCTTCTCACCGGTCCCAGGCCCTTCTCACCGGTCCCAGGCCCTTCTCACCGATCCCAGGCCCTTCTCACCGGTCCCAGGCCCTTCTCACCGGTCCCAGGCCCTTCTCACCGGTCCCAGGCCCTTCTCACCGGTCCCAGGCCCTTCTCACCGGTCCCAGGCCCTTCTCACCGGTCCCAGGCCCTTCTCACCGGTCCCTGGCCCTTCTCACCGGTCCCAGGCCCTTCTCACCGATCCCAGGCCCTTCTCAGGGAGGGAGCAGTGGGGTTAGTTTCTCAACAGCTCTGTGGTCTTTGCTCCTGCACAAATGAAAGCATCACATTCCAAGAGGAAACAATCGGAGCATTTCTCCACAGACATGTTTATGGGACAGATGCAAACACACAACACATTTATAAATACATTTGAATAATGGAGAATGGTTTAAATGAATCAAAGGCAAACGCTTCATCGTCTTCAGACTCAACTTTCCACTCCAGTCTTTGAAGTAACACTGACTTAGCTTTGCTTCTAACACGTCCAGTCGCTCTGACGGATGCAAATGTCACAGTACTCTGCAAAACGCTCTTATCCCTGGAGTATGTTTCTGCCATAGCTTTTAAATGAGAACCCAAAGCAGAGGTCAGACAGCTGACAACAAACATATATTTACAGTCTAAATTAGTACTAATACTTTTACTATTACTATTACTTTTACAATTGAATGTTTTGGAAACAGCAGTGAGTCCTAATGTCTCTGAACAGTTGTTTTGGGTTTTATAAATGTTTTTTTTCTTGATTATTTCTGGTCCAGACCAGAGCAGAGAGGATTCATGGTTTTGCACAGGTTCAGAACCAGTGGGGGCGGGTCCCGGCTCAAAAATGGCCCAAATGACGTGCACTGACATGCTGCAGTACCACCCGAGGCCTGTGGGGGTGGACCCAGAATAAGAATTAGCCAATGCTAACATATAGCATTAGCTGACCTCGTCTTTACAGGATGGACCAAAAGCTGTCTCTTGGCCCAAAGCTCCGTTCCACGGTCCAGACCAGAGCAGAGAGGATTCATGGTTCGAACTAAGTGGATCAGGTGAAAATCCACTTGAAGAATGCTAACTTTATGAAAGATTCTGATGAAGCATTTATCATTTTACTTTGGACCAGAGCAGAGAAAATGGTCTGAACCAAGATCCACCTCTGCTGCTGTGAAGGACTGTGGCTGATTATTAGTATTCTTAAATACCTTTAGAATCATCAATTTATTTGTTCTGTTTGTTTGGATGTGTTTTTGCTGCAACTGGACACCTGCATTTATCCAACAGGGAATAATATCTAACTAACTAACTATTCATTCATTCTCATCCCTTTATTGTCCATTTCTGGGTCAGGGGGTTGGCAATCCAGTTCACATGGCACCAGTCTCTCTCTGATCCTCTGCAGGTGGTGGTCCTCCACAGATACGGCCTTGATCTTTCAGCGGGGACTTCAGGCAAAGTGAGGTTCAGTGTCTTGCCCAGGGACACAACGACAGCAGTCATCAGTGGGAGCAGGTGACATGGGTCATGGTGGGATCGAACCCACGCCCATTAGGTCCAAAGACCAACGCTCTACCAACTGAGCTAACCAACTAACTCAAACCAAAAATGATATTTCCAAGCAGCAGGCTGAGGAGACAGAGACTGGGAACGAGGAGGAGCAGAAGACTAGGATCTGGAAACAAAGCGGGTAAGTATAAAAATAACCTTAATAACCAAAGGTACAAGAGGACAAGGACACACCTGCATGTGACGGAGTAATCAGGTGCACCAGCCACGCCCACATCAGCACTGACGCTGCAAAGACAAACAGACAGAGACAGAGCAGCACAACTCCCACAGTTCCATTGATTCACCACTTTCCCTCCTCCTGCTGCTGCTTTGATAATCAGCTGTTGTATTGTTGTGATTATTGATCCTCTTTATTTGGGACCTGGAAGTTGAGAGCTGCAGAAATCAAAGTGCGTTGTCATTTCCTGAAATAGTCTCTGATAATGATGTGATATTGAACAAACCTCCAGCTCTGATTTCAGTCTCACCGAGTCTCCAATAAACTTTATGGAGGCATCGGATTATTGTCAAAACTGTATCACAGCTTTGTACCGAAAGAACAAACACGATTATAGGACGAAGAGATGGATGAAAATGTGGAAGATGTGGAGAACTGTGTGGGCTTATTAACCGAGCGCGAGGTCTGTATGGAGAAATATCAGACCGAGCCTTAATGTACAGACCGAGCCTTAATGCACAGACCGAGCCTTAATGCACAGACCGAGCCTTAATGTACAGACCGAGCCTTAATGTACAGACCGAGCCTTAATGCACAGACCGAGCCTTAATGTACAGACCGAGCCTTAATGTGCAGACCGAGCCGTGGCGAGGTTAATAAATGTTTTATTATATGACTCTCGTCTGTGTCTTTACCAATGCTTTGGTGATATTTGTGAAGAACATGGCGGGTTTAATAAAGGGTGGGTCTGTGTTTTTGCCTTTAGAGAAAGGGCTCCGTAGTTCACAGGACCTGGAGGACTTTTGGATCTCATTCTTTCAGCCATTTCCGAGATCGTGGGTCTCCTCAGACACAGGGGAGGAGCTTGCAGTAGAGTCGCTGCTCCTCCTCGTCGAGAGGAGTCAGATGAAGAGGCTCGGGCCTCCCGGACTTCACCCTGGGGATGTGGTCCGAGCACGTCCCACCAAGAGGAAGACCAGGGGAAGAGCAGAATGGGGATGCGACCTCAGCTTCATCTGTGAGTCCGTTCAGACTTTACCCTTTAATAGTTTTCACAACCATTTAGTGGATCACTTTTTAGTCACTGCATCTGTTGGAAGCTTGGAACTGAAAACACCTGATTGTTGCTCTTAATCACTTGGTTTTAGGCCCTTTCCCATCACACTGCAGCTCAGCCTTTTATAAAGACAAACTGTTTGTGTTATTAGTATTCCTACATGTTGGAGAATATGTAAATGTAAATATAAATATATATACATTGGTTTCTTAGAGGCGTGAACATTAAAGGGTTAAACCTAGACTCATCAGAAAGAATAAAAAGCTGAGAACCTCCGACAGAAAGTCCAGCTCCAGTTGGAGACGGCGTCTAACTGCTAATTTACACAGGACGCTTTAGAGCACGGCGTCTGAGGCCAATGTCTCTGAGGCCGGTGTCTCTGAGGCCGACGTCTCTGAGGCCGACGTCTCTGAGGCCGGCGTCTCTGAGGCCGGCGTCTCTGAGGCCGACGTCTCTGAGGCCGGCGTCTCTGAGGCCGGCGTCTCTGAGGCCGGCGTCTCTGAGGCCGGCGTCTCTGAGGCCGACGTCTCTGAGGCCGACGTCTCTGAGGCCGGCGTCTCTGAGGCCGACGTCTCTGAGGCCGGCGTCTCTGAGGCCGGCGTCTCTGAGGCCGGCGTCTCTGAGGCCGACGTCTCTGAGGCCGACGTCTCTGAGGCCGGCGTCTCTGAGACCGACGTCTCTGAGGCCGGCGTCTCTGAGACCGACGTCTCTGAGGCCGGTGTCTCTTAGACCGATATCTCTGAGACCGACGTCTCTGAGGCCGGCGTCTCTGAGACCGACATCTCTGAGGCCGGCGTCTCTTAGACCGATATCTCTGAGACCGCGACATCTCTGAGGCCGGCGTCTCTGAGGCCGATGTCTCTGAGGCCAATGTCTCTGAGGTCAGTGTCTCTGAGGCCGGCGTCTCTGAGACCGACGTCTCTGAGGCCGGTGTCTCTTAGACCGATATCTCTGAGACCGACGTCTCTGAGGCCGGCGTCTCTGAGACCGACATCTCTGAGGCCGGCGTCTCTGAGGCCGATGTCTCTGAGACCGATGTCTCTGAGACCGATGTGTCTGAGGCCGGTGTCTCTGAGGCCGGTGTGTCTGAGGCCGACGTCTCTGAGGCCGACGTCTCTGAGGCCGACGTCTCTGAGGTCGGTGTCTCTGAGGTCGGTGTCTCTGAGACCGATGTCTCTGAGACCGACGTCTCTGAGGCCGGCGTCTCTGAGACCGACGTCTCTGAGGCCGGTGTCTCTGAGACCGATGTCTCTGAGACCGACGTCTCTGAGGCCGGCGTCTCTGAGACCGATGTCTCTGAGACCGACATCTCTGAGGCCGGTGTCTGTCTCTGAGGCCGGTGTCTCTGAGACCGATGTCTCTGAGACCGATGTCTCTGAGGTCGGTGTCTCTGAGGTCGGTGTCTCTGAGGTCGGTGTCTCTGAGACCGATGTCTCTGAGGCCGGTGTCTGTCTCTGAGGCCGGTGTCTCTGAGACCGATGTCTCTGAGGTCGGTGTCTCTGAGGTCGGTGTCTCTGAGGTCGGTGTCTCTGAGGTCGGTGTCTCTGAGGCCAATGTCTCTGAGGCCAATGTCTCTGAGGTCGGTGTCTCTGAGGTCGGTGTCTCTGAGGCCAATGTCTCTGAGGTCGGTGTCTCTGAGGTCGGTGTCTCTGAGGTCGGTGTCTCTGAGGCCAATGTCTCTGAGGCCAATGTCTCTGAGGTCGGTGTCTCTGAGGCCAATGTCTCTGAGGTCGGTGTCTCTGAGGCCAATGTCTCCGAGGTCGGTGTTTCTGAGGCCGGTGTCTCTGAGGTCGGTGTCTCTGAGGTCGGTGTCTCTGAGGCCGATGTCTCTGAGGCCGGTGTCTCTGAGGCCAATGTCTCTGAGGTCGGTGTCTCTGAGGTCGGTGTCTCTGAGGCCAATGTCTCTGAGGTCGGTGTCTCTGAGACCGATGTCTCTGAGACCGATGTCTCTGAGACCGATGTCTCTGAGACCGATGTCTCTGAGACCGACGTCTCTGAGGCCGGTGTCTGTCTCTGAGGCCGGTGTCTCTGAGACCGATGTCTCTGAGACCGATGTCTCTGAGACCGATGTCTCTGAGGTCGGTGTCTCTGAGGTCGGTGTCTCTGAGGTCGGTGTCTCTGAGGTCGGTGTCTCTGAGGCCAATGTCTTTGAGGTCGGTGTCTCTGAGGTCGGTGTCTCTGAGGCCAATGTCTCTGAGGTCGGTGTCTCTGAGGTCGGTGTCTCTGAGGCCAATGTCTCTGAGGCCGGTGTCTCTCAGACCGATGTCTCTGAGGTCGGTGTCTCTGAGGCCAATGTCTCTGAGGCCAATGTCTCTGAGGTCGGTCTCTCTGAGGCCAATGTCTCTGAGGTCGGTGTCTCTGAGGCCAATGTCTCCGAGGTCGGTGTCTCTGAGGCCGGTGTCTCTGAGGTCGGTGTCTCTGAGGTCGGTGTCTCTGAGGCCAATGTCTCTGAAGCCAATGTCTCTGAGGCCGGTGTCTCTGAGGTCGGTGTCTCTGAGGTCGGTGTCTCTGAGGCCGATGTCTCTGAGGCCAATGTCTCTGAGGTCGGTGTCTCTGAGGCCGGTGTCTCTGAGGCCAATGTCTCTGAAGCCAATGTCTCTGAGGCCGATGTCTCTGAGGTCGGTGTCTCTGAGGTCGGTGTCTCTGAGGTCGGTGTCTCTGAGGTCGGTGTCTCTGAGGCTGGTGTCTCTGAGGCTGGTGTCTCTGAGACCGATGTCTCTGAGGTCGGTGTCTCTGAGACCGATGTCTCTGAGGTCGGTGTCTCTGAGGTCGGTGTCTCTGAGGCCGGTGTCTCTGAGACCGATGTCTCTGAGGCCGGTGTCTCTGAGGCCAATGTCTCTGAGGTCAGTGTCTCTGAGGCCGGTGTCTCTGAGGCCAATGTCTCTGAGGTCGGTGTCTCTGAGGCCAATGTCTCTGAGGCCGATGTCTCTGAGGCCAATGTCTCTGAGGTCAGTGTCTCTGAGGTCGGTGTCTCTGAGGTCGGTGTCTCTGAGGCCGGTGTCTCTGAGGCCAATGTCTCTGAGACCGATGTCTCTGAGGTCGGTGTCTCTGAGGCCAATGTCTCTGAGGCCGATGTCTCTGAGACCGATGTCTCTGAGGTCGGTGTCTCTGAGGCCAATGTCTCTGAGGCCAATGTCTCTGAGGTCGGTGTCTCTGAGGCCAATGTCTCTGAGGTCGGTGTCTCTGAGGCCGGTGTCTGTCTCTGAGACCGATGTCTCATTATCCACTCTCTCCTCATGTCCCTGTGATACTAATGTCCCTATGATAATCATGTCCCTGTGATACTAATGTTCCTGTGATACTAACGTCCCTGTGATACTCATGTCCCTGTGATACTAACGTCCCTGTGATAACATAACATTCTGTCTGAGACAGATCCGTGGCCTTCGTCTGATGACTTCTGCTTCAGATAAATGAGGCTCAGAGTAAAACGTTCTTTAGTGAAACAGTTTCTGTTCATGAAGCAGAAGCATCGAGGAAACTGTCCACGTTTACAACGACTCATACTAATAAAATAACTTTATTGAGAAAAACACAGACACCAAACGAGTCAATAAGTACTTTAATTATGCAGCGCACATTTAAAGACCCAGGTCCAGACCCAACGGTACAGACCCAGGTCCAGACCCAAAGTCCTTTACAGAGTCAAATATTGTTCCAGCCTCTCCACACGGTGATGAAGACCAGAACATACTGGTCCATCAAAGCCTCCGCCCAAACACCACTCTCTCATTACACTCTACTACTACTACTGTACATGTTTTTAGTGGAAAACCTGAGCACTTCATTTTTGTATCGCCCTAAATCACAAATTCAGAAGTTGTCGATTTTCCAGCTCAGATCAGAGAATCAAAGAGTACAAACGTAGGAAATGATAAAAACAGAACCGTCGTCCAACAGCAGCAGGTGACGTCCAGAAATGTGTAGAAAGTTTAAAGCCAATATTGAACCAGGAGAGACCCACTGGGAGTCGAACCCAGAGGGGACAGCTGCATGTTTGAGTTCTATGCCCACAGTCTTTAAAGCTCTTTTCACACATTTGTTTATTCATAACAAACAAATTCACGTAATGTCTCCTGTGAGGGATTATTAAAGTATCTCTAAGTATTTATCGATCTCATCAAATCCTACTGAGTGACTCTGATGTGCAGACTTCAGGCAAAGAGACTTCCATCGCCTGATTCTGAACGTTCAGATTCTAAAGATCTAAAGTTTAAACATCAGAGAAACACACAGAGCTTCATCCTCAGATGTTTTTGTGGATCTCTGCTGCTGACCTCCTGCTGCTGACCTCCTGCTGACCTTCTGCTGCTGACCTCCTGCTGCTGACCTCCAGCTGACCTCCTGCTGCTGACCTCCTGCTGCTGACCTCCAGCTGACCTCCTGCTGCTGACCTGCTGCTGCTGACCTCCTGCTACTGACCTCCTGCTGCTGACCTCCTGCTGCTGACCTGCTGCTGCTGACCTCCTGCTACTGACCTGCTGCTGCTGACCTCCTGCTGCTGACCTCCTGCTGCTGACCTCCTGCTGACCTCCTGCTGCTGACCTCCTGCTGACCTCCTGCTGCTGACCTCCTGCTGCTGACCTCCTGCTGCTGACCTCCTGCTGACCTCCTGCTGCTGACCTGCTGCTGCTGACCTCCTGCTGCTGACCTCCTGCTGCTGACCTCCTGCTGCTGACCTCCTGCTGACCTCCTGCTGCTGACCTCCTGCTGCTGACCTCCTGCTGCTGACCTCCTGCTGACCTCCTGCTGCTGACCTGCTGCTGCTGACCTCCTGCTGCTGACCTCCTGCTGCTGACCGCCTGCTGCTGACCTCCTGCTGCTGACCTGCTGCTGCTGACCTGCTGCTGCTGACCTCCAGCTGACCTCCTGCTGATCTGCAGCTGACCTCCTGCTGACCTCCTGCTGATCTGCAGCTGACCTCCTGCTGCTGACCTCCTGCTGTGTCATGTGTGTGTGTGTGTGTGTGTGTGTGTGTCACCTGTGTGTGTGTGCCACCTGTGTGTGTGTCATGTGTGTGTGTCACCTGTGTGTGTGTGTGTCACCTGTGTGTGTATCACCTGTGTGTGTGTGTGTCACCTGTGTGTGTGTGTCACTTGTGTGTTGTTTCTCTCGTGTATTCAGATTCAGATTCAGTTTATTTGCCATTTGCAGTAAAACCACATTGGAATACATTAGCAAAAGTCTCCAGTGTGCACAGATAAATACAGACATAAAACAACATTAAAAGACAGAAATAAAACAAATAAAACAGTAAACAAATGTCACTGTGAAATTGATCGACTAAAACAGTTTCAAAACAAGTGCAAATCATTAAAGTGCTCTGTTCACACTGATAACAGCCTGTGGATAAAAACTGTTAGCGTAACGAGATGTCCTGCATCTCAGAGAGCGATATCTTCTGCCAGAGGGAAGAAGCTGGAACATGGCTTTCCCAGGGTGGCCAGAAGAGTCATTAACAATCCTAAGAGCTTTGTTTAAAAGTCTGGATTTATAAAGAACCTCCAGAACAGGAAGCTCACAGCCCACAGTCCTCTTTGCAGAGCGGAGCACCTTGTTTAAAGCTCTCTTTTCTTTATCTGTGATGTTTCCAAACCACACAGACACAGAACCAACAAGTAAACTCTCAATGGTGCAGCCATAAAAGTTAAGCACAATCTTAGAGTATTTAACCTTGTGTCGTCCTTCACTCCCTGTTTGGTGACATTTTGTGCGTTTACTCTGGAGTTGTGTTATCTCAGTCCTGTGTGAAATACTTAAAGGACAACTCACCCTCAAATCCATAAACGGTATAAATGAGTGTCCAATAGTGTTGTCTACATATCCTGGTCATAATTTTGTCACTTTGGTGCAAATTAGTTGAAAGTTAAACTTTCTGCCTAAAACCGTCTGTGAGGCGCCATCTGCTGGCAACCTGTATTACTACATTTGAATTTTGAATCTGGCGCCAACACTGGCGCGGCAGTAAGACCTGACGTCTGAAGCGAGACCTGACGTCTGAAGCAAGACCTGACGTCTGAAGCAAGACCTGACGTCTGAAGCAAGACCTGACGTCTGAAGCAAGACCTGACGTCTGAAGCAAGACCTGACGTCTGAAGCAAGACCTGACGTCTGAAGCAAGACCTGACGTCTGAAGCAAGACCTGACGTCTGCAGCAAGACCTGACGTCTGAAGCAAGACCTGACGTCTGAAGCAAGACCTGACGTCTGAAGCAAGACCTGACGTCTGAAGCAAGACCTGACGTCTGCAGCAAGACCTGACGTCTGAAGCAAGACCTGACGTCTGAAGCAAGACCTGACGTCTGAAGCAAGACCTGACGTCTGAAGCAAGACCTGACGTCTGCAGCCCGCCGCCCAGAGCTATATAAACGGCCCAGTCTCGTTCACGCCCCCTTTAGTCCTCCAGGCCACGCCCATTTAGAGGAAGATTTGAACAGGAAATCAGAATCAGATTCTGATTCTGAAATGTGAGTGACGTAAGCTCAGAGGAGCGGGGGGGAGAACCACTTTAACATAGACAGACCCACAGGGTCTCATGGTCAGTGTATCAATTATATACATGTTATATACATGTTATATACATGCTTTCATTATGAACTGTTTGAAGTGGCTGACATCATCCTACGCTACAGTTAAACATCTGTTTCAATCACGTCTGACTGCCTTTGTCCTGAAGTCTCCTCACGTTTATTCCACAGTCTCCATCATTGGCATTCAGCCCCAAAGTCCTCCGTTTACTGCTGTCAGCTCTGAACCTGCGTCACCGGCCAATCACGCAGTCCCCCGCCACCGCCACAGCCGCTGCCACCGCCGCCTCTGCCACGGCACACACCACACAGAAGGTAGGACATTGCGCCGCATCTCATTAGCCGCGCACACGTTTGCAGACGCAGTGAAGCATGTGCGGTTGTTATGACGACAGATAACTTTTTTCCCCAATGGGTTTTCTTATGAGTTTTCCTCTGATGCAGGAGTCTGTTGGACAGTTAGTGTCCAACTAGGACTGTGGTGATCCAGGACACTTTAACATTCTACAACATGTATGACATTTATCACATGTATGACATTTATCAACATGTATGACATTTATAAACATGTGTGACATTTATCAACATGTGTGACATTTATCACATGTATGACATTTATCACATGTTTGACATTTATCACATGTATGACATTTATCACATGTTTGACATTTATCAACATGTATGACATTTATCACATGTATGACATTTATCAACATGTATGACATTTATCACATGTATGACATTTATCAACATGTAGGACATTTATCACATGTATGACATTTATCAACATGTATGAAATGTATCACATGTATGACATTTATCACATATATGACATTTATCACATGTATGACATTTATCAACATGTATGACATTTATCACATGTATGACATTTATCACACGTATGACATTTATCACATGTGTGACATTTATCAACACGTATGACATTTATCACATGTGTGACATTTATCAGATGTATGACATTTATCACATGTATGACATTTATCACATGTATGACATTTATCAACATGTATGACATTTATCACATGTGTGACATTTATCACATGTGTGACATTTATCACATGTATGACATTTATCAACATGTATGACATTTATCACATGTGTGACATTTATCAACATGTATGACATTTATCACATGTATGACATTTATCAACATGTGTGACATTTATCAACATGTATGACATTTATCACATGTATGACATTTATCACATGTGTGACATTTATCAACACGTATGACATTTATCACATGTGTGACATTTATCACACGTATGACATTTATCACATGTGTGACATTTATCAACACGTATGACATTTATCACATGTGTGACATTTATCACATGTATGACATATATCACATGTATGACATTTATCACATGTATGACATTTATCAACATGTGTGACATTTATCAACATGTATGACATTTATCACATGTATGACATTTATCACATGTATGACATTTATCACATGTATGATGTAACGCTCTTTAGGGCTAGGTCGGGTGACTGCGGAACAAGTGCTTAACTGACCAGAAAACTGGTTTGGAGGGGAGCCATAGAGTGAATGAAAAAGGAAAGAAGCAAATGGTTGATTTGAATTATTTATTCTTATTATATGAGTAGGTGCCCTCAATGACAATGAGGAAAAAAATAACCAAATATGCAGGATTCAAAACAAAACAACTATGAGGAAACAAATGAATGTGTTAAACAAACAAAACAAAACAGGCAACTCGTGTCCTATGAGTTCTTTCTATACAGTTCTATACAAGTTCCGTTTGGTCGAATCGTTTCACTATCCAAAAGTTATTTGTAAACCCAAAATGTTTGTAATATCCCAAAGTTATTTGTAAATCCAGCAACGAATCCAGTTCCTTTTTTTTACATCAGGAACAAACAAATAGACGTCGATCTCCTACCATGAGGTGGGGGCTCTTAGCTCGCCATCATAGTCCACGAGGAGGGGTAAAGGGAGGGGTGAAAAAACCTGACCTACACGAGGTCAAAGGAAATAACCCAAATTATGACTCATAGTAAAACCCAAAGCTCTATACACACACATAACAATGAAGAAATATAACAATCTACAATGGGGTTTGTAAACATAATACATTATTAAAGATAGTTCATAATTAATTAAGTGCACTTTAAGTAAAGATGTGGCTATGTTCTAAATATCGATCAAATCAAAAGTTGCGCAACGAATTCAAATATTAATCAAAAGATCTCACTCATGATCGTCACCATGGGGTCAATGCAGAACAGTCATGGCCAAACCAAGTATACACGCCAAAACCATTCGTTCTAATTATATCCAGGACGGATTTAAACAACACAAGGTGTCCTTAACTTAATAAAGGCCTAACCTAAGATCCGGCAGGAACAAAAGAATATAAATCAGTAAATCGATTTGCATTACGTGGATTTGAAACTCCACTCTGGCGTTTGTGCTGCCCGAAAAGCGGCTAATATCCGCACGTACATCTAATGGAGTGCTCAATGCTCGCTCGTATCAAACTCTTAACAAGTATCAGAGTAAAACGGGGTAAAACGGACTCACCGCTGAGCGAAGGAGGGATGTCCTAGCTCGAGGCAAAGCAGCGGATAGTAGCGGTAGCAAATAGCACCAGTAGCATCACAACTGTAAGTGCAGCACCATGAGAGGGGGGAGGACAGGGGGCAGCGCCAGGTTAAAGCATCACGTCCGGTGGCTGCGTGGGTCACGCGGGATTACAACTAAGCTAAACTAAGTGGGTTACATTTATCACATGTATGACATTTATCACATGTATGACATTTATCACATGTATGACATTTATCAACATGTATGACATTTATCAACATGTGTGACATTTATCAACAGTGTTGCATCACCAGTTACAGACAGTAGGAAAAGATACATGACCAATAACATCTCTGACTTAAACATAATAAAGAAGCAGGTATAAAATCTTTAACTTCAGCGTCATGCTAGGAGACATAGAAGGTGTCAGTTGAAGCCACAAAACCACTCTTGATAATGATCTATTGTATTTAAAAAATAACTAATACTTTAATTAAAATAACTCACACGTTTCCGTCACTTTCTGTCAGGACACCGCTTCATTTCCATAAAGTTACTCTAAGAAGCCTCCATCGAGCTTTTTCATCGGGCTTTGGCTCTAAGCGCTAAAGCCCCGGGATGAGGCTGCTGACTCGGCACGCCGCTGCTCGTCAGATGAACGGAGCTTGTTCAAGTACTTTGTCGACCGCTGTGAGTAAATAGAGATGTTACTTTCCTACTTGAGAAATGCCGAGCAGCTCCGACCCCCCGCTGGGAGTTTCCACAGGATTATACTGGCCCTTCCTCGTCTCCCCGGGATAACATACTCGCCTGGTTATAAGTGTGAGAGCGTGTTTAAAGAGGTGGCACAAGGTTAACACAACAAACTTATTTAAAACTTTAGAATCCAGTACAGTACGTTGTTGATCGCGGTCGGAAAAAGCAGCCGACGAGATTCTCACATTTCTGTTGCTGTCCATGGTGCTGATCTTGTTTTCCACAGCGGAAAGTGGGAATCTCCGGATTAAAGAGCACAGTGGGAGTGGAACGCTGCTCATTTAACATAAAGGCAGCGGAGTCTGGCTTCTCTTTCATCATTATGTTTATGTTTCCACTCAAAGGCTTCACGTCCAAACCAATACAAGACCGTAGCCTGTGTGGGAAAACTGTTTATATATAGTTAGTAAAGTTATAGAGTGGAGGCACCTGAACCCAAAACTTTATGATCTCTGAAGCTTAACAGGTCAATCCATCACAAGTCTCAGTCCTGGGTCTACAGCCTCAGTCCTGGGTCTACAGCCTCAGTCCAGGGTCTACAGCCTCAGTCCTGGGTCTACAGCCTCAGTCCTGGGTCTACAGCCTCAGTCCTGGGTCTACAGCCTCAGTCCTGGGTCTACAGCCTCAGTCCTGGATCTACAGCCTCAGTCCTGGGTCTACAGCCTCAGTCCTGGGTCTACAGCCTCAGTCCTGGGTCTACGGCCTCAGTCCTGGGTCTACAGCCTCAGTCCTGGGTCTACGGCCTCAGTCCTGGGTCTACAGCCTCAGTCCTGGGTCTACAGCCTCAGTCCTGGATCTACAGTCTCAGCCCTGGGTCTACAGCCTCAGCCCTGGGTCTACAGCCTCAGTCCTGGGTCTACAGCCTCAGTCCTGGGTCTACAGCCTCAGTCCTGGATCTACGGCCTCAGTCCTGGGTCTACAGCCTCAGTCCTGGGTCTACAGCCTCAGTCCTGGATCTACAGTCTCAGTCCTGGGTCTACAGCCTCAGCCCTGGGTCTACAGCCTCAGTCCTGGGTCTACAGCCTCAGTCCTGGGTCTACAGCCTCAGTCCAGGGTCTACAGCCTCAGTCCTGGGTCTACAGCCTCAGTCCTGGGTCTACAGCCTCAGTCCTGGATCTACAGTCTCAGCCCTGGGTCTACAGCCTCAGCCCTGGGTCTACAGCCTCAGTCCTGGGTCTACAGCTTCAGTCCTGGGTCTACAGCCTCAGTCCTGGGTCTACAGCCTCAGTCCTGGGTCTACAGCCTCAGTCCTGGGTCTACAGCCTCAGTCCTGGGTCTACAGCCTCAGTCCTGGGTCTACAGCCTCAGTCCTGGGTCTACAGCCTCAGTCCTGGGTCTACAGCCTCAGTCCTGGGTCTACAGCCTCAGTCCTGGGTCTACAGCCTCAGTCCTGGGTCTACAGCCCCAGTCCTGGGTCTACAGCCTCAGTCCTGGGTCTACAGCCTCAGTCCTGGGTCTACAGCCTCAGTCCTGGGTCTACAGCCTCAGTCCAGGGTCTACAGCCTCAGTCCTGGGTCTACAGCCTCAGTCCTGGGTCTACAGCCTCAGTCCTGGGTCTACAGCCTCAGTCCTGGGTCTACGGCCTCAGTCAATCATGACATTTCTTCATGTTTGCTTGTTCTTGCTGTTATTGACGCTGAGTTTCTACATGAGCCTGAGCAGATGAGGAGTGAGCGCTCGGCCTTTTGCGAGAGTCGCCGTCGGTCATTTCCCACTGAGCGAATCAAATCTGGGGCGTTTCTATGGCAACAAGTGGAACAAATCCTGCAATAATGTGCCAATATCCATGCAGAGAGCGTGAGGGTTCAGGATGTTCCCGTTTGGATTTACAGCCGGACTCTGTCATGAATAAAACATGAGTTTGTTGCAGCAGGAAATACCAGGTTTATTACAAAACATGCATCTGCCTCGGGAGAAAGAGCCCTGAGAGTCACTATCTGAGGTTTTGGGCTGAGAGAGGATTGGCTGAGAGCTGATTGGCTGAGAGCAGATTGGCTGAGAGCTGATTGGCTGAGAGCTGATTGGCTGAGAGCTGATTGGCTGAGAGCTGATTGGCTGAGAGCAGATTGGCTGAGAGCTGATTGGCTGAGAGTGAGATGGTGGTGAGTCAAACCAGATCTCTCTCATTACGCGTTAAAAGAGAAACATGATGCTGTTCTTAGTGCTCTCTCCGTGTGAATGAACACGAGCAAAACATTTGACAATTTTCAAAGTTAAATCTGAGTAAATGTGGCGAGCCGAGGGCTCTACACGATTAAAACTATCAGTACTTTAAATTTAAAAGAGTTCCAGTCCTGTTACACAGGGACCATTTACAGAAACTCTGATTCTCTGATTGGAGTCTAAGGACCACAGGATCTTTCCACTACGAAAACAACTATCACTGTCATTATTCAAACCAAAGCCTTTGGAGAACAACCAACTACGGATATGATTTAGTTTAGAGATTAGAGACCTGAGACCCCAGTCTCCTCTGGGTCTGACCTGAGACCCCAGTCTCCTCTGGGTCTGACCTGAGACCCCAGTCTCCTCTGGGTCTGACCTGAGACCCCAGTCTCTTCTGGGTCTGACCTGAGACCCCAGTCTCCTCTGGGTCTGACCTGAGACCCCAGTCTCTTCTGGGTCTGACCTGAGACCCCAGTCTCCTCTGGGTCTGACCTGAGACCCCAGTCTCCTCTGGGTCTGACCTGAGACCCCAGTCTCCTCTGGGTCTGACCTTAGACCCCAGTCTCCTCTGGGTCTGACCTTAGACCCCAGTCTCCTCTGGGTCTGACCTGAGACCCCAGTCTCCTCTGGGTCTGACCTTAGACCCCAGTCTCCTCTGGGTCTGACCTTAGACCCCAGTCTCCTCTGGGTCTGACCTTAGACCCCAGTCTTCTCTGGGTCTGACCTGAGACCCCAGTCTCCTCTGGGTCTGAACTGAGACCCCAGTCTCCTCTGGGTCTGACCTGAGACCCCAGTCTCTTCTGGGTCTGACCTGAGACCCCAGTCTCCTCTGGGTCTGACCTTAGACCCCTGCAGCTGCTCCTGATCCTTATTTTAAGTCCGTCTCTTCCTGTTCGGACCAGGGAGCTCTGTGGCGAGGACCATGAAGGAAAGGTTCCAGCTCTGATGGTTTCATCATGGTTTCATGTAACTCTTAATTACTCTCATCAAACATTTGGAAGTGTGGGTTTTCCGTCTCGGCTTTTCTCCTTAAGCCGCAAACTCTTTACTGCGTCTGATGATGTTATTTTCTGGCAACAGTTCAGTCTCGGATCTCTCTCTTTAGAGGAAAGTAAAAAGCTTCTTACAAAATAAGATCCAATAAAAGGTTGAAGATGGTTTTCATGTTGATGGTTCCAGTTCATATCTATAGAATCTATGGACTTCGACTGGTTTGGATTGACTCTGAGACTCTTGGTCTCTGTTGGTTCTGTAAATCGTGAATGACAGATGGATCTGTTTTTGACCATTTTAACATCAAACATCATACATCATATTAAAGATCAAGGTCTTTAATAAAGTGCTTTAAACTAAAGCAACAGAGCTGAGTCAGAGAAAGGCACATTCCCTTCATCAGGAGCGTCGCTGATTAGAACCTCCTCGTGGCCTCCTTCATTATGCTCCAACACAGCAGTCGTTCTCAGACGTAGAGCTGCATTCACGGCACACAAAGCCTGATGTCAGGGCCGCTCTCTCCTCAGGTGGAATTAGCAGCAGACCAAGGTAATTTGATTTGGTCGATGCAAATGGAGTATTTTCAGTCAGCCACTCAGACGGTGAAATAATTGTGAAGAAACCGTGGCAATGGAGGAGCGCGGCTGAGCTTCTTATCAACTCAAAGTGAAATAGGAAAATACCTTTAATGACCTGTGGGGAAATTGGAAGTGAAAGTGGTTTAGAGCAGAGTACGAAGCTGCTCCGGCGCATTCTACACGCTTCAGTCGGTTTTACATCAGCAACTGGGACAAGGACTGAGGCTGTAGACCCAGGACTGAGGCTGTAGACCCAGGACTGAGGCTGTAGACCCAAGACTGAGGCTGTAGACCCAGGACTGAGGCTGTAGACCCAGGACTGAGGCTGTAGACCCCGGACTGAGGCTGTAGACCCAGGACTGAGGCTGTAGACCCAGGACTGAGGCTGTAGACCCAGGACTGAGGCTGTAGATCCAGGACTGAGGCTGTAGACCCAGGACTGAGGCTGTAGACCCAGGACTGAGGCTGTAGATCCAGGACTGAAGCTATAGACCCAGGACTGAGGCTGTAGACCCAGGACTGAGGCTGTAGACCCAGGACTGAGGCTGTAGACCCAGGACTGAGGCTGTAGACCCAGGACTGAGGCTGTAGACCCAGGACTGAGGCTGTAGACCCAGGACTGAGGCTGTAGACCCAGGACTGAGGCTGTAGACCCAGGACTGAGGCTGTAGATCCAGGACTGAGGCTGTAGACCCAGGACTGAGGCTGTAGACCCAGGACTGAGGCTGTAGACCCAGGACTGAGGCTGTAGACCCAGGACTGAGGCTGCAGACCCAGGACTGAGGCTGTAGACCCAGGACCGAGACATACTGTATGAATTGCCAGGTCCATTTTGAGATGTATCGTGTCTTATGAATGTCTTATGTTTTTTTTATTCAAAGATGAAGTTAATATAAAGAAATGGTTCTGGGCCGGGATGACTCGGCTGCTTTTGTGAATGACATAAACTCACTTCTTTCTGACTTTGATAAGAAGTGAGTTGATGGTGTTTTAAAGGAGTCACACTGACCCAGCTGTATTAATGAGTCCAAACCTCTGAGTCCACCGTGTTCTGCGGCGCCACAGATCAGCAGAACACACATGAGATGCTTCGAGTCGTCAAAGCAGTAATTATCCCCAGCTCCGATCTCAGACTGGTTTTTCAGAGGCTCAAGAAATATGTTTAAACTGATATTTTTGAAAGGCTCCTCTCTCTGTGAACACGGCCCTCAAAGGCTTCGTCCTCTCGTATGAGGGTCACATTAACCCTCGCAGACTCGAAGGACCTGCAGCCGTAGGTCTGTACTGGGTCTGAGACTGGGTCTGAGAGTCTGGGTCTGAGAGTCTGGGTCTGAGAGTCTGGGTCTGAGAGTCTGGGTCTGAGAGTCTGGGTCAGAGAGTCTGGGTCTGAGAGTCTGGGTCTGAGAGACTGGGTCTGAGAGTCTGGGTCTGAGAGTCTGGGTCTGAGAGTCTGGGTCTGAGAGACTGGGTCTGAGAGTCTAGGTTTGAGAGTCTGGGTCTGAGAGTCTGGGTCTGAGAGTCTAGGTCTGAGAGTCTGGGTCTGAGAGTCTGGCTCTGAGAGACTGGGTCTGAGAGTCTGGGTCTGAGAGACTGGGTCTGAGAGTCTGGGTCTGAGAGTCTAGGTCTGAGAGTCTGGGTCTGAGAGTCTGGGTCTGAGAGTCTGGGTCTGAGAGTCTAGGTCTGAGGGTCTGGGTCTGAGAGTCTAGGTCTGAGAGACTGGGTCTGAGAGTCTGGGTCTGAGAGACTGGGTCTGAGAGTCTAGGTCTGAGAGTCTGGGTCTGAGAGACTGGGTCTGAGAGTCTAGGTCTGAGAGTCTGGGTCTGAGAATCTGGGTCTGAGAGTCTGGGTCTGAGAGTCTGGGTCTGAGAGTCTAGGTCTGAGAGTCTGGGTCTGAGAGTCTAGGTCTGAGAGTGTAGGTCTGAGAGTCTAGGTCTGAGAGTCTGGGTCTGAGAGTCTGGGTCTGAGAGTCTGGGTCTGAGAGACTGGGTCTGAGAGTCTGGATCTGAGAGTCTGGGTCTGAGGGTCTGGGTCTGAGAGTCTGGGTCTGAGAGTCTGGGTCTGAGAGACTGGGTCTGAGAGTCTGGATCTGAGAGTCTGGGTCTGAGAGTCTAGGTCTGAGAGTCTGGGTCTGAGAGTCTAGGTCTGAGAGTCTGGGTCTGAGAGTCTGGGTCTGAGAGTCTGGGTCTGAGAGTCTGGGTCTGAGAGTCTGGGTCTGAGAGTCTGGGTCTGAGAGTCTGGGTCTGAGAGTCTGGGTCTGAGAGTCTGGGTCTGAGAGTCTGGGTCTGAGAGTCTGGGTCTGAGAGTCTGGGTCTGAGAGTCTAGGTCTGAGAGTCTGGGTCTGAGAGTCTGGGTCTGAGAGTCTAGGTCTGAGAGTCTGGGTCTGAGAGTCTAGGTCTGAGAGTCTGGGTCTGAGAGTCTAGGTCTGAGAGTCTGGGTCTGAGAGTCTGGGTCTGAGAGTCTGGGTCTGAGAGTCTGGGTCTGAGAGTCTAGGTCTGAGAGTCTGGGTCTGAGAGTCTAGGTCTGAGAGTCTGGGTCTGAGAGTCTAGGTCTGAGAGTCTGGGTCTGAGAGTCTGGGTCTGAGAGTCTGGGTCTGAGAGTCTGGGTCTGAGAGTCTAAGTCTGAGGGTCTGGGTCTGAGAGTCTAGGTCTGAGAGTCTGGCTCTGAGAGACTGGGTCTGAGAGTCTGGGTCAGAGAGACTGGGTCTGAGAGTCTAGGTCTGAGAGTCTGGGTCTGAGAGACTGGGTCTGAGAATCTGGGTCTGAGAGTCTGGGTCTGAGAGTCTAGGTCTGAGAGTCTAGGTCTGAGAGTCTGGGTCTGAGAGTCTGGGTCTGAGAGTCTGGATCTGAGAGTCTGGGTCTGAGAGTCTAGGTCTGAGAGTCTGGATATGAGAGTCTGGATCTTAGAGTCTGGGTCTGAGAGTCTAGGTCTGAGAGTCTGGATCTGAGAGTCTGGGTCTGAGAGTCTGGGTCTGAGAGTCTAGGTCTGAGAGTCTGGATCTGAGAGTCTGGGTCTGAGAGTCTGGGTCTGAGAGTCTGGGTCTGAGAGTCTGGGTCTGAGAGTCTGGGTCTGAGAGTCTGGGTCTGAGAGTCTGGGTCTGAGAGTCTGGGTCTGAGAGTCTGGGTCTGAGAGTCTGGGTCTGAGAGTCTGGGTCTGAGAGTCTGGTCTGAGAGTCTGGGTCTGAGAGTCTGGAGTCTGAGAGTCTGGGTCTGAGAGTCTGGGTCTGAGAGTCTGGGTCTGAGAGTCTGGGTCTGAGGTCTGGGTCTGAGAGACTGGGTCTGAGAGTCTAGGTCTGAGAGTCTGGGTCTGAGAGTCTAGGTCTGAGAGTGTGAGGTCTGAGAGTCTAGGTCTGAGAGTCTGGGTCTGAGAGTCTAGGTCTGAGAGTCTGGATCTGAGAGTCTGGGTCTGAGAGTCTGGGTCTGAGAGTCTAGGTCTGAGAGTATGGATCTGAGAGTCTGGATCTTAGAGTCTGGGTCTGAGAGTCTAGGTCTGAGAGTCTGGGTCTGAGAGTCTGGGTCTGAGAGTCTGGGTCTGAGAGTCTAGTCTGAGAGTCTGGGTCTGAGAGACTGGGTCTGAGAGTCTAGGTCTGAGAGTCTGGGTCTGAGAGTCTAGGTCTGAGAGTGTAGGTCTGAGAGTCTAGGTCTGAGAGTCTGTCTGGAGTCTAGGTCTGAGAGTCTAGGTCTGAGAGTCTGGGTCTGAGAGTCTGGGTCTGAGAGTCTGGGTCTGAGAGTCTGGGTCTGAGAGTCTGAGAGTCTGAGAGTCTGGGTCTGAGAGTCTGGGTCTGAGAGTCTGAGGTCTGAGAGTCTGAGAGGTCTGAGAGTCTGAGTCTGAGAGTCTGGGTCTGAGAGTCTAGGTCTGAGAGTCTGGTCTGAGAGTCTGAGTCTGAGAGTCTGAGAGATCTGAGAGTCCCGAGAGTCTGAGAGTCTGAGAGTCTGGGTCTGAGAGTCTGGGTCTGAGAGGCCTCTGAGAGTCTGGTCTGAGAGTCTGGGTCTGAGAGACATCTGGGTCTGAGAGTCTGTCCTCACTGGCTGGACCCACCCTCTGACAGGTTCTGCACGTCTGTCCTTCCTGCTGCTGTCAGACTGTACAACAAACACTGTCAACTAACGAACACTGTCGACTAACGAACACTGAGGACTAACAAACACTGAGGACTAACGAACACTGAGGACTAACGAACACTGTCGACTAACGAACACTGAGGACTAACGAACACTGAGGACTAACAAACACTGTCGACTAACGAACACTGAGGACTAACAAACACTGAGGACTAACAAACACTGAGGACTAACAAACACTGAGGACTAACGAACACTGAGGACTAACGAACACTGTCGACTAACGAACACTGAGGACTAACGAACACTGAGGACTAACAAACACTGAGGACTAACGAACACTGAGGACTAACGAACACTGAGGACTAACGAACACTGTCGACTAACGAACACTGTCGACTAACGAACACTGAGGACTAACGAACACTGAGGACTAACAAACACTGAGGACTAACGAACACTGTCGACTAACGAACACTGAGGACTAACGAACACTGTCGACTAACGAACACTGAGGACTAACGAACACTGAGGACTAACAAACACTGAGGACTAACGAACACTGAGGACTAACGAACACTGAGGACTAACGAACACTGAGGACTAACGAACACTGAGGACTAACGAACACTGAGGACTAACGAACACTGAGGACTAACAAACACTGAGGACTAACGAACACTGAGGACTAACGAACACTGAGGACTAACGAACACTGAGGACTAACGAACACTGAGGACTAACGAACACTGAGGACTAACGAACACTGTCGACTAACGAACACTGAGGACTAACGAACACTGAGGACTAACGAACACTGAGGACTAACAAACACTGAGGACTAACGAACACTGAGGACTAACGAACACTGAGGACTAACGAACACTGAGGACTAACAAACACTGAGGACTAACAAACACTGAGGACTAACGAACACTGTCGACTAACGAACACTGAGGACTAACGAACACTGAGGACTAACAAACACTGAGGACTAACGAACACTGTCGACTAACGAACACTGAGGACTAACGAACACTGTCGACTAACGAACACTGAGGACTAACGAACACTGTCGACTAACGAACACTGAGGACTAACAAACACTGAGGACTAACAAACACTGAGGACTAACGAACACTGTCGACTAACGAACACTGAGGACTAACGAACACTGAGGACTAACAAACACTGAGGACTAACGAACACTGTCGACTAACGAACACTGAGGACTAACGAACACTGTCGACTAACGAACACTGAGGACTAACGAACACTGAGGACTAACGAACACTGAGGACTAACAAACACTGAGGACTAACGAACACTGTCGACTAACGAACACTGAGGACTAACGAACACTGTCGACTAACGAACACTGAGGACTAACGAACACTGAGGACTAACGAACACTGAGGACTAACGAACACTGAGGACTAACGAACACTGAGGACTAACGAACACTGTCGACTAACGAACACTGAGGACTAACGAACACTGAGGACTAACGAACACTGAGGACTAACAAACACTGAGGACTAACGAACACTGAGGACTAACGAACACTGAGGACTAACGAACACTGAGGACTAACAAACACTGAGGACTAACAAACACTGAGGACTAACGAACACTGTCGACTAACGAACACTGAGGACTAACGAACACTGAGGACTAACAAACACTGAGGACTAACAAACACTGTCGACTAACGAACACTGAGGACTAACGAACACTGTCGACTAACGAACACTGAGGACTAACGAACACTGAGGACTAACAAACACTGAGGACTAACGAACACTGAGGACTAACGAACACTGAGGACTAACGAACACTGAGGACTAACGAACACTGAGGACTAACGAACACTGAGGACTAACAAACACTGAGGACTAACGAACACTGAGGACTAACGAACACTGAGGACTAACGAACACTGAGGACTAACGAACACTGAGGACTAACGAACACTGTCGACTAACGAACACTGAGGACTAACGAACACTGAGGACTAACGAACACTGAGGACTAACAAACACTGAGGACTAACGAACACTGAGGACTAACGAACACTGAGGACTAACGAACACTGAGGACTAACAAACACTGAGGACTAACAAACACTGAGGACTAACGAACACTGTCGACTAACGAACACTGAGGACTAACGAACACTGAGGACTAACAAACACTGAGGACTAACGAACACTGTCGACTAACGAACACTGAGGACTAACGAACACTGTCGACTAACGAACACTGAGGACTAACGAACACTGAGGACTAACAAACACTGAGGACTAACGAACACTGAGGACTAACGAACACTGAGGACTAACGAACACTGAGGACTAACGAACACTGAGGACTAACGAACACTGAGGACTAACGAACACTGAGGACTAACAAACACTGAGGACTAACGAACACTGAGGACTAACGAACACTGAGGACTAACGAACACTGAGGACTAACGAACACTGAGGACTAACGAACACTGAGGACTAACGAACACTGAGGACTAACAAACACTGAGGACTAACAAACACTGAGGACTAACGAACACTGTCGACTAACGAACACTGAGGACTAACGAACACTGAGGACTAACAAACACTGAGGACTAACGAACACTGTCGACTAACGAACACTGAGGACTAACGAACACTGTCGACTAACGAACACTGAGGACTAACGAACACTGAGGACTAACAAACACTGAGGACTAACGAACGAACGAACACTGAGGACTAACGAACACTGAGGACTAACGAACACTGAGGACTAACGAACACTGAGGACTAACGAACACTGAGGACTAACGAACACTGAGGACTAACGAACACTGAGGACTAACAAACACTGAGGACTAACGAACACTGAGGACTAACGAACACTGAGGACTAACGAACACTGAGGACTAACAACACTGAGGACTAACAAACACTGAGGACTAACGAACACTGTCGACTAACGAACACTGAGGACTAACGAACACTGAGGACTAACAAACACTGAGGACTAACGACTAACTAACGAGAGAGTGAAAGAGAGAGAGAGAGAGGGGGGGGACAGGGGGGGGGGGGGGAGAGAGAGAGAGAAAGTGAGTAAGAGAGAGAGAGAGAGGGGGATAGAAAGGGAGAGAGTGAAAGAGAGAGAGAGAGAAAGAGAGAGGGGGAGAAAGAGAGAGAGAGAGAGGGGGGAGAGAGAAAGAGAGAGAGGGAGAGTCAGAGAGGGAGAGAGAGAAAGTGAGAGAGAAAAAGAGAGTGAAAGTGAGAGAGAGAGAGAAAGGAGAGAGCGACAGAGAGAAAGAGAGAGAGGTCAGTTTTGACTTCAGACAGATCTTTATGAGCTCATGTTGTAAACAAAGAGACGTCTCGTGTAGAAAACCCTGATGTCTCTGCAGCAGTGATGATGATGATGATGATGATGATGATGATGATGATGATGAGGAGGAGGAGGAGGAGGAGGAAGGGGAGGAGAAAGAAAAGGATGAGGAAGAGGAGGAGGAGGAAGCACAGTGTGTCAGACTGCTTCCTGTATGGACCTGGTTATTGCGGCTGGTCCTGCCCTGGGCTCAGGACGCAGCCTGTGATAGGGCACTGTCCGGTTTCCGAAATGTGCTAAAAATAGCTCAGAAGACTGCGCATGCGCGCATGTTTCGGACAAACATTGTGTACGACTCGTTGAGTTCTACTGTGTTCTCCTCATACGCGCGTGTGTATTTATTTGGGCTAAATCATTGAATCATGGTGATCTCCTCTCTTCCTCTCTCTCTCCCCTCTCCCTCTCTCCCTCCTTCTTCCTCTCTCTCCCCCCTCTCCCTCTCCTCCTCCCTCCTTCTTCCTCTCTCTCCCCTCTCCCTCTCTCCCTCCTTCTTCCTCTCTCTCTCCCCTCTCCCTCCTTCTTCCTCTCTCTCTCCCCCCTCTCTCCCTCCTTCTTCTTCTCTGTCTCCCCTCTCCCTCTTTCTTCCTCTCTCTCTCCCCTCTCCCTCTCTCTCTCCTTCTTCCTTTCTCTCCCCCCCCTCTCCCTCGTTCTTCCTCTCCCTCCCTCCCTCTCTCTCCTTCTTCCACTCTCTCCCCGCTCCCTCTCTCCCTCCTTCTTCCTCTCTCTCTCCCCTCTCCCTCTCTCCCTCCTTCTTCTCTCTCTCTCCCTCCCCTCTCCCTCTCTCCCTCCTTCTTCCTCTCTCTCTCCCCTCTCCCTCTCTCTCTCCTTCTTCCTTTCTCTCTCCCCCCTCTCCCTCCTTCTTCCTCTCTCTCCCCTCTCCCTCTCTCCTTCTTCCTTTCTCTCTCCCCCCTCTCCCTCCTTCTTCTTCTCTGTCTCCCCTCTCTCTCCTTCTTCCTTTCTCTCTCCCCCTCTCCCTCTCTCTCCTTCTTCCTCTCTCTCCCCTCTCCCTCCTTCTTCCTCTCTCTCTCCCCTCTCCCTCCTTCTTCCTCTCTCTCTCCCCTCTCTCCCTCCTTCTTCTTCTCTGTCTCCCCTCTCCCTCCTTCTTCCTCTCTCTCTCCCCTCTCCCTCTCTCTCTCCTTCTTCCTTTCTCTCCCCCCCCTCTCTCTCCTTCTTCCTCTCTCTCCCCGCTCCCTCTCTCCCTCCTTCTTCTTCTCTCTCCCTCCTTCTTCCTCTCTCTCTCCCCTCTCCTTCTCTCTCTCCTTCTTCCTTTCTCTCTCCCCTCTCTCCCTCCTCCTTCTTCTCTGTCTCCCCTCTCCCTCCTTCTTCTCTCTCTCTCCCCCTCTCCCTCTCTCTCTCCTTCTTCCTTTCTCTCCCCCCCCTCTCTCTCCTTCTTCCTCTCTCTCCCCTCTCCCTCTCTCCCTCCTTCTTCCTCTCTCTCTCCCTCTCTCCCTTCTTCTTCCTCTCTCTCCCCTCTCCCTCTCTCCCTCCTTCTTCCTCTCTCTCCCCTCTCCCTCTCTCCCTCCTTCTTCTTCTCTCTCTCCCCTCTCCCCCTCCTTCTCCTCTCTCTCTCCCCTCTCCCTCTCTCTCTCCTTCTTCCTTTCTCTCCCCCCCTCTCCCTCCTTCTTCCTCTCTCTCCCCTCTCCCTCTCTCCCTCCTTCTTCCTCTCTCTCCCCTCTCCCTCCCTCTCTGTCCTTCTTCCTCTCTCTCCCCTCTCCCTCTCTCCCTCCTTCTTCCTCTCTCTCCCCTCTCCCTCCCTCCTTCTTCCTCTCTCTCCCCTCTCCCTCTCTCCCTCCTTCTTCCTCTCTCTCCCCTCTCCCTCCCTCTCTGTCCTTCTTCCTCTCTCTCTCCCCTCTCTCCCTCCTTCTTCCTCTCTCTCCCCCTCTCCCTCCCTCTCTGTCCTTCTTCCTCTCTCTCTCCCCTCTCTCCCTCCTTCTTCCTCTCTCTCCCCTCTCCCTCCCTCCTTCTTCCTCTCCTTCCCCCCTCTCTCCCTCCTTCTTCCTCTCTCTCCCCTCTCCCTCTCTCCCTCCTTCTTCCTCTCTCTCTCCCCTCTCCCTCTCTCCCTCCTTCTTCCTCTCTCTCCCCTCTCCCCCTCTCCCTCCTTCTTCCTCTCTCTCCCCTCTCCCTCCCTCTCTGTCCTTCTTCCTCTCTCTCCCCTCTCCCTCCCTCCTTCTTCCTCTCTCTCCCCTCTCCCTCCCTCTCTGTCCTTCTTCCTCTCTCTCCCCTCTCCCCCTCTCCCTCCTTCTTCCTCTCTCTGCGTTGGTAGAGTGTTGTGTTTCTCCCCCGTCTCCCCCGGCCTCACACAGACTCTGACAGCTCCCAATTAAACCCAGCAGCAAATGACACACATCAGAAAAAAGCATCGAGCTGAAATGGAGAGAGATGAAACTTCATCCTTTTTATTCCACTGCTACGTTTCCAGGAGAGACACACACAGAGACACACACACACAAATATGTGTGTGTGTGTCTCTGTGAGTGTCTCTGTGTGTGTGTCTCTGTGTGTGTGTGTCTGTGTGTCTCTGTGTGTGTGTCTGTGTGTGTGTGTGTCTGTGTGTGTCACCTGTCGTTGCAAATATATTTTTGTAAAATAACATGAAAAATAAAAAGCTCAAGGCTGAGAAACACAATTCATTATTAAACTTCTGCTACTGTACTGTCTGTATACGTCATGTTTATAATATAATTGTATACAACGTACGTGTTTATATTATAAACGTATATGTCATACATGTTTATATTATAAACGTATACATCATACATGTTTATATTTTAAACTTTGTGGAGATTGGAAACTGTGTCTCAGATCATATGGCCCTGACCTGTGGAGTACCACAGGGGTCGATCCTGGGACCTCTTCTGTTCAATCTCTACATGCTGCCGTTAGGTCAGTTAATACGCAGAAACAAAGTGTCCTATCATAACTATGCAGACGACACTCAGATCTATGTCTCACTGACTGCAGGAGAACATGGACCAGTGGACTCACTCCTTCACTGTATCCAACAGATCAGTGAGTGGATGCAAAACAACTTCCTTCAGCTAAACGCAGACAAAACTGAAATGATTGTCTTTGGTCCCCAGAAACAAAGAGAGAGCGTCATCTGTCACCTACAGTCTCTCTCCCTAAAACCTTCAAACAAGGTCAGAAATCTAGGGGTAATACTGGACTCAGACTTCAATTTTAATAGCTACATCAAATCAGTAACATCAGCAGCTTTTTACCATCTAAAAAACATTGCCAGGATCAAAAACATAGTGTCTAAAGCAGACCTGGAGATTCTTATCCATGCATTTGTCTCCAGTAGGTTAGACTACTGCAATGGCCTGCTCACAGGTCTGTCCAAACAGGCTGTAAAACAGCTGCAGTACATTCAAAATGCAGCAGCTCGAGTCCTGACTAGAACCAGGAAGTACGACCGCATTAGTCCTGACTAGAACCAGGAAGTACGACCACATTAGTCCTGACTAGAACCAGGAAGTACGACCACATTAGTCCGGTCCTCAGGTCTCTGCACTGGCTTCCTGTGGCTCAGAGAATAGACTTTAAAACAGCTCTGCTTGTTACAAGTCTCTCCATGGCCTCGCACCAAAATATATTAGTGACATGTTAGTCCCATATGAACCAGCCCGGACTCTGAGGAGCACAGGGACTGGACTCCTGCTGGGACTCTGAGGAGCACAGGGACTGGACTCCTGCTGGGACTCTGAGGAGCACAGGGACTGGACTCCTGCTGGGACTCTGAGGAGCACAGGGACTGGACTCCTGCTGGGACTCTGAGGAGCACAGGGACTGGACTCCTGCTGGGACTCTGAGGAGCACAGGGACTGGACTCCTGTTAGTGCCCAGAGTCAGAACTAAACATGGGGAGGCTGCTTTTCAGATTCATGCTGCTAAAATCTGGAACAGTCTTCCTGAAGATGTGAGACAGGCCTCCTCTCTGACAATGTTTAAAACCAGGTTAAAGACAGTTCTGTTTAGCTGTGCTACAACTGAGGGATTTTATACTTTTATCTTTCTTTTTAATGTTCTGTGATTATTTATGATTTTAATGCTTTCTTGTTTTGTTCAGCACTTTGAGTTGACTTGTGTATGAATTGTGCTATATAAATAAACTTGCCTTGCCGTATACATCGTACATGTTTATATTATCAATGTATACATGTTTATATTATAAAGCAGCAGCAGCAGCAGCAGTAGCAGTAGCAGCAGTAGCAGCAGTAGCAGCAGCAGCAGTAGCAGCAGTAGCAGCAGTAGCAGCAGCAGCAGTAGCAGCAGTAGCAGCTGCAGCAGTAGCAGCAGTAGCAGCAGTAGCAGCAGCAGCAGTAGCAGCAGTAGCAGCAGTAGCAGCAGTAGCAGCAGCAGCAGTAGCAGCAG